ATAATAAATATATCATTAATATTTGCTCCAAGAAAATTTCTTTTTAATTTTTTTTTTCTCTTACCCTGCTTCCAGGAAACTTCAATTGTTGAATAAATGGAGAAATTGACATGACTGTCTACTTTGGATTTTTTTTGGTTTTGTTTCTTCAAAGTCAACAACTGATCTTGTTCTTTAGAAATTGCGTTAAGTGTGTGGTGAAGAGTAAATGAGTAGGCCCATCATCAATTACTGCATTAATTGGGAGATATTTTTCTCAAAGGGTAACATACCCTTAGGATTTTTTAAACAATTTACCTATACAATATTTTTAAGAGGTCAGGATAAAGCACCTGCGTCTCCTATACCTCGAAGCAAAAATAAAGAGTATTAATTATATAAAAATTATCATTTTTTGTTTTTAAAAAATAGAGTCAATTTTTTATTTTAATTATAAATATTATGTGTTAAATTTTTGTTAATTAATTTTAAATTAAAAATTATTTTTTAATATAAAATTTTATTTTTAAAAAAAATCATAATTATTACTTAATAATAATGTTTTATCCTGACCTTTTTTTTTTTGAATTATGTGTTCAAGCTGAGATTTGAGTTTTAAACCTATCAAAAGAAGGGAGATTGCACCTTTAAAATGATCTAATTAAAATTAAATATGTGTTGTTAATGTTAAAAATAAAATTAGTTTTTGTGGTTTTTTTGTACAAATTAATAAAAAAGAATCTACAATTAATACATCATTTACCTGTGCGCCTTATAGATTAAACAAACCCCTACCTTTAGGCCCATAAATAAATTTGTTTGGTTAATGCTAGTGGTTAATTATTCCTTAATTAAATTATAAAAATTTCCCGTAACTAGTTAAGAATAACTAAAGCTCTTTTAATTTTTGCATTGGGAGTATGTAACTAAGGTAAATTTGAGAAGTTAGCAATTCTCGTCAGAAATTGATCTTATCTTCTTAGGCTGTTTCTGCTACTATGTGGACGGCGCTTAGTTGTCTTGTGGAATATTAAGACATGCCTAATTGACTAGGTACAGTGCTGTCCCTTTTTGCACTTATAATAAGGAAGAAACCCACTTGCTTGCTCCACATTTAGGTTCTTTCTTCAGAAAGGGAAAAATGGGGATGGGAATGCATGTTATCCTGATGTGGAGCCTCGCGTTTTTCTTTGCCTCTGCTGTATATGCTAGAGAGGGCGATGCCGTTTACTATGAACCTCCTTATACTCGTAAGTAACTACTACTCAAACCTCAAGCTTATTACTCCACATCATTTAATTTTCTCTGCCTTCAATTAGTGCTATAGTCAAGATCAATCTATCTCATCTCATAGGAGATGTTTCAACGGTAAGAAATTAAATTTTTATGTTAAGCTTATTACTCAACATCATCTAATTTTCTCTGCCTTCAATTAGTGCTATAGTCAAGATCAATCTATCTCATCTCGTAGGAGATGTTTCAACAGTAAGAAATTAAATTTTTATGTTAAAATTGAAGCTCTTAAGTTCCTATTATATAGTCTAAAATAAAAACAGAAAAAAATGCTACTTAAAAATTATTATAAGGGCTACCAACAAAGGTTTTTTTTTTTAATGAAATCTCCCTGTCTTGTCTTCAAAACTGATATAGTATTGCAATTTTGTTGGATTTGATATAGCGTCAGCATGCTATCAAATGCAAGACAAAGGGCAGTGGGTGGCCGGAGTAAGGGATGAATTGTGGGAAAACAGAGCGGCATGCGGGAGGAATTATAGAGTGAAGTGCATAGGTGCAGCCTTTGGAAATGGTAACCCTTGCAAGCAGCAACAGGGCAATGGTGTCGAAGTTCAAGTTGTTGATTATTGTCGAGCTCCATGCAATGGAATCATAAACCTCTCTCAAGATGCCTTCAATAAGATTGCTGATCTTAAAGCTGGAAGAATCAAAGTTCAATTCGACCAGTATGCCCTACTCCCTTCACAATTATATAACCTTAATTTGCAGAACAAAATACTGTGAAATCCGAACTGTATTAATTGCACAACATAATCCATTAAATAGGAAACAAGTTTATTAATATTGGAAGTTATTTCCATCCAATGACATCTGTTTTCTAATTCAGGAGAATTATTTGCCTAGATATTATTTGTTCTTATTTTAAACATTTGTTTTGCTAACTTAATTTAATCATAAACAGGATTTGAAGATTTTTAACCAAAGAAAGACTTCCAATTTCCAAGGGGCAGAGGTGGTGGTATCCGTAGGGGAGAATATCATCCATTTGATCGAATAAGCTACCAATAAATCTTCACCACTTGTTAAGTTATTGTGGCGTATGCTTCTATTATAGTGTGTGCTTTGGCGGATCCCGCATGCAAGAGAATAAAGTTTGAGCTATCTATCTATTTTCTTTTTCTTTGGCAGTGATTTATTTTCTAAGTTTCAGCTCTTCCCTAGATTATTCCAATAACAATTTTATTTGAAATTCAATTTTTTTTTTTCGGACTTAAATGTGTCACATCAGATGGTGGTGGATTAAAAAAAGCTGGAAAAATAAGTTGAGGGACAAAAAAAAATTTAGTGACCAAAATGGGATGAAACCACAAGTTGAGAGGGGCATATATTAGACCATTTAAAGATTTAAAAATCTGAATTTTTGAAAAAAAAAATTTTAGGACCAAAAATAATTGAAAAGATGAATTTAAGGACTAAGAACGCCAAATAAGAGTATTAAGACCAAAATAAAACTAAATCACTTTATGTGATTTATGTTTAATTGCTCTACTTATATTTCGATATTGTGGGTGCAGTTACTTAAAATACTTGATAATATTTATGTGATTTATGGTATATTAGGTTTCCTTTAGACTAGATCCATCATGTACGTACCCATCTTCATATATAAACAGATTTATGTTTCTCTACTTATATGGCGTTGATCATAAGTTCTTTAATATACTTGCTACAGTAATTATAAAATTACAATTGTTTATAAAAAAAAATAAAGGACTAACAAAATCTCAGTCCCTCACTTTGTCAAGTATAACGTACAAGACGGGTTTTTTTTTTCTTTTTTTCTTTTTCCCACCATTGGGTGTTTACTGATTTTATGTCTAATTAAGGATTGATATTTTTTTGAAAAAGAAAATTAGATTACACAATGAGAAATAATATCTCTTTTATTTTTTGAGATAATAATTAATACATTTTTATAATGCATTTATTAAAAAGTTATTATTTTAAAATTTACATTAAAAATAAGAAAATTTTAATCATTAAAATTTACATTAAAAATAAGAAAATTTTAATCATTAAAATTTACTTACCTTTAATTTAAATTTAAAAATACACGTAAGGTAACAGGCTCTTGTGCACTGTTCCTAGGGTTGAGGGCAGAGATGACGGGTTTTTCTCCTTGGGGTTTTTCTCCAACCAAGGAGTTCCTTTATTCCTACTTTCTTCTTACCCCTACCTTTCTCCTCTTGATCGCTTCCTCCATCTTAACTAATTGTCTTGCTTTAGAAACTTCAACCCAAGGGATGACAAGGCAGCAACATATTTAGGTCTACAGGCTACAACTAGAATAACAAGGGAATTGATCTTGTCGGTGGATTGGGTTTCTCCTATTCAACAAGTAAGAACCTCACTTTGGTGCATCTCCTTGGATGGGATCTTGGTGGTGGTTGAATTTGAAGAAACTAGTTTACTCCAATTTCCGATCTAGCAGTTGAATATAGAAGGAAAGGGATGCTGTTGGTGAAGCCAATTATGGTCTACATGGGAAGCATGATATTCAAGCCGACAAAGGGGCTCTAGTTCCCTTAAGGAGCTTCGACCGCAAGGGTTTGAAGAGAATTGGCAAAGATAGGAACATGATTGGGAGTGCATGAAGGCGGTTGGGGTGCCTTGTGCTTGTACAAAGGAGGCCCATGCCCTTTCTATTGTTATTCTTTAAGAATAGATAGGGCAATAACTTGCGGGTTGGGGATTGTTTGTTGCCAAAATCCCTTGTTCTCCCCATGACACTAGTTAAATAAGTGATGATGTTTAGTGGTTTCTGAGGCTCATAGTGACTCTTCTTTTTACATTAGTAGCCTTATTTAATCCATATAGAGATTGTAATTTCAATTTCTAATTGTAGATGGCTTTCTTTACTTAATTGTTTATATTCGTCATGAGTATAGTTTAAATCTGTTACTAGTGTTATAAATTATGCTTTTAATTTTGTCTTCAAGTTTTATTGTTTCGGTTGTAATGCCATGAAATAGAGGTTCTGTTTTAATTTTTTATTATTTAATATATTTCCTTATTTCTTATAAAAAAAATACACATGAGATTATATAAAAAGATAATACAAAAAAGTTATTCTTAAATCATTTTCCTTAGTTAATATATTAAACTAGAAATTATATCAATTATCTTTTTAGTTTTTAACTTTATTAGTATGTTAGATGGCTGTAACCTAAATTTTCTTATTTTTATTCAAAAATCTACTAACAGCTTAAGTTGTCGAAGGGATTAATCCTTTTCAGCTAACTTAAGAACATTGATATGATACAATCAAAGAAATTTCTCTGAATATTTACTCCGAAACTTGACCAGATACATTTGCTTGGAGATCTAATACTAAGTTTCAATTTTTTCGTTGCTTATTTTTTTCTTTTCCCCTGTTTCCAAGAAACTTGTATCGCCGATATATGAATGGAGAAATCAATACTACAACCTACTGTTTTGTTTCTAGGAAACAATTTTTTCTTGTGCCATAACCAAAGTTAAGGTGTAAAATCAATGTCTTAGGATTGATTTATTTTTATATTGTTAACAGACTTGTATTAGTAAAAACACTATTACAAATAAAATATCAGAGTAAGAGTATTCATTCATTGTGCTCTATAATAAAAGATTTTTTTTTTAATAAAAAACAATTACCACCGCCTACTACTTTTGAATATCTTGGTTTGGTTGTTTGTTCTCTTTTCTTTTTTTTCTTTTCTCCAAGTCAACAAGTGATCCTATCCTGATAAGAAACCACGTGTCAAAGAGTTGAGAAAATTTTGTTTTTATACGGTAAATCGTCTCGATTTTCCAAGACTTTTCTTTCTTTTCATAATGTTCATTTTGAGGTCTAGTGTTCAGTTTTATTTTTTGCACTTAGTGCCTACTTGCAGAAATTCCAGTTGTTGTATCTTAGAGAGTAAGCCATCGTCAACCTGTTGCATTGAAAAATATTCTTGGCCACTAAGCTTTATGATTTATTTAATAAGTACATTTAATATTTTAATAATAATTAAAATTTAAATTATAATTTTATTATATTATAATTTTTTATTATTTACCTTAAATTGCATCTATTATAAAAAAAAATTCATTAAGGGACAATTTATGAACCAGTTTAAAACTAATGTATTATTTAATAAGTTATTATTAAAAAAATATTTTACATTAAACTATTTTTATTTAATTTAATAATTAATATTTTATAATTTAATGTGTCATGCACACTAAACTTAATTATTATTTTTGCTAGTTTTTCCAATACCTATCCGCTCAATTCCTTAGTGCGTTTTAGCAGACGACCTTGACCACCTAGTCTTCTTCTACAGTTTTAGTTGTTTCGTGGAATCCTAAAACATATCTAATTGGTTTTCACACTAAATCGGATCTAATTGACTATATACAGTGCTATCCTTTTGCACATATAAATAAAGATGAAGCTGGCCTCTTGCTTGCTTACTCCACATTCAGGTTCTTTCTTACATAAGAGAAAAATGGAGATTGGAATGCGAGTTATCCTGATGCTGAGCCTCGCGTTTTACCTTGCCTCTGCGGTATATGCCATACAGGGCGATGCTGTTTATTACCCCCGTCCTTATACTCGTAAGTAGTATTTAAACCTCTGGCTTATAACTCAATATCATCTAACTTTCTTTGCTTTTAACTAGTGTTAATGTCGAGATTAATGTTTAATAGCTAGGGAATGTCTACAATTAAGTACTTTAGTTTTTATATCGGAATAAGAAGTTTTAAGTTCAATTTTAAAGACTATTGGAAGAAATTTGAGAAAAGTATAATTTAATGTATGAAAAATATTTAAATTATTATCATATCTCCCAACAAAGGATATATTTCTTCCAGTTTGTCTACAAAAGTGACAATATTATATGTACTACTGTTGGAATTGGCAGCCTCAGCATGCTTTCAGGGACAAGACAAAGGGCCATGGGTGGCCGGAGTAAGGGATGAATTGTGGGGAAACAGGGCAGCGTGCGGAAGGAGGTACAGAGTAAGCTGCATAGGTCCAGCCTATGGATCAAAAAACCCTTGCAAGGGCGGCAGCGTCGACGTTCAGGTGGTGGATTATTGTCGATCTCCATGCAATGGAATCATAAACCTCTCTCAAGATGCTTTCAATAAGATCGCTAATCTCGATGCCGGAAGAATCAAAGTTCAATTCGACCAGTATGCCCAAACTCACTTCATAATTAACCTTACTTCGCTAAATGCTTTGATATGTACTGTTTTGTTCTTGTCTTAAAACATTTTTGTTCCACTAATAATTATCATAAATAAATGCAGGATTTGAAGATTAATTCCAATCAAAGAAGGTTTCGTTGGGAGCAGAGGTGGTGATCTATCTTAAAAGCTTGAGTTTTGCCTTGCTATATTCCAATAACAGTGTTTATGTCAACACCATGATAGTGTTGTTCTATATATTTTCAAATATGCAATCTGATGATGAAATAAAAAAAGACCATTAAGGGGCATTTGCTACCCTAATGTAATCAATGCTATGAAAATAAAAATTTTATGTAATCCAAAAATTACAATGTTTACCCTATCTTTACTATGATACTTACTGAAATTGAACATCGTTTTGAAAACTTTAGACTTATTATGTGCAACTATTTGGTCCAACAATTAATTTTTTTAAGTAATTTAATAATAATTTATATAATAAAAGATAATTATTTTTTTCACTAAAATTTCTTATTATTCGACTTAAAATTCAAATATAATATTTTCAAATTAAAATTTCACGTTATTAACCCATTGAACAGGGGGTCTGATGATTAAGGTAGCATTATTGGTTGAAATAAATTTTTATTTGGTCCAATAATAAAAAAAAATAATTTAGGAAAGAAATTTAGGATCAAATTCATTTTCCTCTATACCCATTTGAGTCGTCTGCCTTCCTAAATTTTTTTAAACTGCTGACTTGGGTAAGTACAAATATAATTAACAGTTATTGTTCAAACACATTTGACAGTTAATATTCAGAAACAGAGAATTCAACTTTCAACAGGGACAGATCACAAATCATTTGTAGAAAGCAAAACAACTCATAGTCCCCAAATTTTAATCCCACTAAATGAGTTCAGACAGGGGACAAGATTTGTCCTGGCCCTTCTTCAATCCAACCCCTTTCAATCGCCCAGGAGACACCTACTCCTGTAGACCAGACACAAGTACCCAATCTAACCCCGGCTAGGCAGCAGCCATCGGCTGGGCTGCAGAATGGCATCGGTCCGTCTAGATTCTATAGAGAACTTAACAGAACCTCATCATGAAATGCATAATTCTATTCACAGAACTTGTTTAATCTTTCCACCGATGATCAACTCCGTTGGCATTTGGGGTTATCTGCAGAACACCGAAAATAATCCGCTTGTTTATGCCTTGCCGCGGCTCGAGTTGCAGATTTTGTTAGCTTTCTTCGTCACCCATAGTCTGCATTTCATTTTCAAGCGCATTGGCCTCCCTATTTTCGTCTCCCAACTTCTTGTATGTTCTCCCCCGCACTTCCCCTGTTTTTCTTTCTTTCCCCTTTCTGTTTTCTCTATATTTTCTTCTAGAGTTAATGCATTTTGATATATATATATATATATATATATATATTTTTCATGTGTTTAGGGTTTATCTTTTAACATTGTCTAATTGATTAATCTTAAATGATTATTGTTTAAACAGACCGGATTAATTTTGGGTACTGCTGTACAAAACATGAACGAGGATTTCCAGAAGATCAAGTTATCATTCGGCAGTGAAGAGATTCTTGATGTTACTGCATCGTTTGGCTTCACACTCTTCATTTTTCTCATGGGTTTGAAGATGGACCTCATCATGGTGTTTCGGACAGGCAAAAGGACATTCATCACCGGTGTTATGTCCCTTCTAGTGCCGCTGCTCATGGGTTTAGTAGCATTGGAAAAGGTTGCAAGCTTTTGGGAGCTAGATAAAGAAGATAAACTCAAAATTTACAGGATTGTCTTGTTCAATTCTATGACTTCATATCTTGCAATTGCTTGTTCACTAAGTGAAATCAAGATCCTGAATTCGGAGCTTGGTAGACTGGGGCTTTCTACGGCACTGGTTAGTGATATTCTCAGCCTGTTTCTCACAAGCTCCAGCACATTTGTGAGAGCTGTGCACAGCCGGGATATTGCACTGCCTATCTTAAATGCTACATTGCTTATAGCTTTTGTGGCCGTGGTGGCATTAGGCCATTGCTTTTTTTTTGTTTACAATATCAAAATATCTTAATTTTGTTTAAATAAATAAATAATAAGCTTTTATCAATTAAATCTTTAAAAAATTATGAAAAAAAAATTAATTACATTATTTTAATAAACCCTCACTAAAAAAAATTAAAATAACTTATTTTTTAAATAAAAATGAGAGTGTTTTGATATTTTTCATAATATTTTATTAAGGTTAAACCTCCTTTTTGGTCCCTCAACTATTGTACGGACCCTCGATTTGGTCCCTAAATTCAAAAAATCCTTGATTTAATCCCTACTGTTTATCATTTTTACCCCAATTTGGTTCTTCCGTTAAACATCTGTCCACTTGTACTGTTAATTCACGGTAAGATGATGACATGTCAAAATTTTACTCCACGTGGAAGACAACATGGCAAAAACTAGTGACATGGCAATAAAAATTTTAAAAATTATTTCTCCTTCCACATCCCCTTTCTCCTTCCTCTTCATTTCCTGGACCTAGAGCCTGGGATCGTCGAACCCAGGCGATGGGATCCTTCAAACCCAATTAGGCATTCCTCGTTCCCTTTCTCCTTCCTCTTCATTTCCTTTTTCATCAATCAATTCATCATCATCATCAAACAACACCCACAAAAATACAGAAATTATTTATTTATTTTTTTGTTGAAGAAACCAGAGCCTGGGTTCCTTTGAAGAACCCAAGCTTGTTGGGTTCTTCAAACCCAGGCTTGGGTTCAAACCCAGGCTTGGGTTCAAACCCAGGCTCGGGTTCGAAGAACCCAAGCCTACTGGGTTCTTCAAACCCTAGGCGCTGGGTTTCCTCGAACCCGTGCCTGGGTTCCTTCGAAGAACCAAAGCGTGGGTTCTTCGAAGCCCAGGCGCTGGGTTCTTCGAAGCCCAGGCGCTGGGTTCTTCGAAGCCCAGGCGCTGGGTTCCCTCGAACCCGCGCTTGGCTTCCTTGAAGAACCCAGCAGCTGGGTTCTTGAAGAAACCTAGGCGTGGGTTCGAGGAAACCCAGCGCTTGGGGTTCAAAAAACCCACGCTTGGGTTCTTCGAAGGAACCCAGGCGCTGGGTTCCCTCGAACTTGCGCCTGGGTTCCTTCAAAGAACCCAAGCTTGTGAACCCAGCAACGGACGTTGGTGTTTGCCGTCTAGGGTGTGAATGGGAAGAAGGTAAGAAGATAGTGATTTTTGCAGGAGGTGGGCCTCACATTTTTTTTTTTTTGTTGGCTGAAATCTAATGTGTTTTAATGACATGGTATTGATCTGTAATAATATTTTGACATGTCATCATTTTCCGTTAGTTAACTGGACAAATCATTGAATTTTTAACGAAAAGACCAAATCGGGGTAAAAATGATAAACAGTAGGGACCAAATCATGGATTTTTTTAGTTTAAGGACCAAATCGAGGGTCCATACAATAGTTGAGGGGCCAAAAAAGGGTTTTAACCTTTTATTAAAATAATATAATTTTTTAAAAAAATTTCATAATTTTTAAGAGATTTAGTTGATAAATATCAATATAATAATAATAAACAACTAATTTTTCAACCAAACTAACCTTAAAGTCAAACAGGGTTCGCATGGTAGGTCCTGAACCGACTCAAATTAACCAAAGATTATTAAGTCGGCTTGCACGGTCGATGAAACGGGTTATAATTAAGATTCCGGCCCGACATAGCCCATATGTCAAATTGGGTCAGAGTCGTCAGACACGATATTCTCAGCCTAAAAATAGAGAGATCATGCCACCAGACCAGGAACACCCCTGCCCATTTGACATCCAGCCAAGAACCGAGCCCTTTTGTCCCAAAAAGAGAGAAATCAGGCTGTAAATACAAGCTAAATTATACCATCACATATATAGTTTGTAACAGAATTATCAGTATTCTTAGTAAGAGATATAATATTTAATTTTAGTCTTTACATGCCAAAAAAAAAATACAAGCAAAACCATTTGATTGAAAGGCAAATACCAAGGAGGCTCGCAATAAATGGAACAGTTAATCCTCTCCATCCCCCACTGAAAAAACCAATTAATAGATGCCACTGCCCCCTGCAGCTGCCCTCACCTATCCAACACAAATGGTATTGTAATAAGTATAGTGATTTAATTTACTTACTCACCTGAAACCCCAGCAGTTTTGCAGCACACATCTTTGAAGTATGCAGAGATCAAAAGAGAAGGCTTTTAATTTGTAGGACGTAATAAGCAAAAGGCACACATGCGTTGGCAGGAGCTGTCCGTGCACAGCGCACTGTTCCACAGGCATGCTCGTTTTGTATCTTCCTCTTACGTAGCCAATTTTTTTATTTTTTATTTTTGCATAGGATCGAGATGACTTGACCATGTCTTGTCACAATCATAAAGGTTGTGATGATTATCAAGAGTAAAGGCATTTGCCAGGTACTCAATTATATTAGTTTAATTGCCTTCTTGCAGGTATACCCTGTGAGCTGTGACCCTACCGGAATAATTGCTCCTTCCCAATTCCCATCTCCCTGCTCCAAAATTTTTTAAGCAATTACTAACTTACCATGAAACCTAGGCTAACGTTAATGTGCTAAATGTATTTAGTTTATTTAATTTTGTTAATTTATAATTATTAAGATATTTTTAATTTATTGATTATTTTAAATTATTAAATAATAAATTTTAATTATTATTAATTAATTATTATAATTATTAAGTATGTTTAATAATCAAATTAAATATACTTATATTATTTTTATATAATCTTAACATTTTTTTTTTAACAAAATCTTAACACTTCTTTGTGTATCCTTAACCATTAACCATTGCCGAAACCTAGCTACGAAGCTTCTTCTCCTACTACTAACGTTTGGTTTTTATCTGCCTTTTGTGACCAGCTTTACTTTATGTTTCTCTTACAAATTACTTAAAACTTTTTTGCAACCAAGAAAAGTATCAAAAGATCTTGTTCCACAGTCTATCTAACATTGGATTTTGTGTGTTCATAGGTCATTCGTGGACGTCTTGCATGCACATCAGTCCACGGACATGGCTCCTCAACTTTGTCCAAAACATCAATATTGTTACACAATAGTTTCAATGATTCTTAATAATTTGAACGTGACAATTCACTCGATTACTGAGCAGACATGTAAAATACAGTAATACATTTGTTGAATTAAATTAACCTCTTAAAAAGTGTTAATTTTAATCGATTAAACACTTAACAACAGTTTTTAAAAGACAACAACTTTTGAGAGAACAATTTATGTATCTTAAAAATTGCCGACAAAACAGGCTTTAGGTCAAGGGATGTGAAACATCAGGACCTTTACTTGGAAAACCTGATGAACATGTGATGCTGCCATTTAGTTATGTAATTGCTACAGTAACCAATATATATATTTTATTAAGTTACAATTTTAAAAGTGAAAAGATTTAAAATTCAATTTTTAGATTGAAAATATATCTACAATACGACTTATAATTTTGAATCAAGAAGATCGAGTGCATAATTAATCTATATTTTGGTAAAATTAATTCCTTAATTTTAATAATAATGATGACTTTTTTTGATTTCTTCTCTGTTAAAATGAGCTAGCATAGTATGGACCATCAATGGTGTGGAATTAGCATTCATTCATGAGGTGTATTTACTACTCAGGAAAATGATATGAGATGGTAATAGTTCTGCAGTGCACCAGAGGAGAGGATAGGTTATGATGATGATGATGAAGATGTATGAAGAAGGAAGTCAAAATTTGAACGGAGAAGAGGGGGAAATTAAGGGATTGAAAGCCTTGTACAAGTGAGGTAAGTGGTAGAAAAAGACAGAACAAGACTGCATGTTTCCATTCTTCTTCTTCAACGAATTGATTGCCAAAACCCTTTTTGCTTTCTCAAAGCCTTTTGAAAATCCGAGTCCCTATGCGACCCCTCCTTATTGTTCCAAAATTACGTAACTAAGAAGGTAAAAGATGTGAAAACAGAGTGATGGTTAAGTCACTCTGCTTCCTCTCTGCTGTATATTCCTGTACGTACTCTCTCTCAGTCTCTCTCTCAAATCAGTCACCGTTCTTCTTTCTATATCTTGATAATCCCACACTTCTGATGGGATAAAAACAAAGTAAAATTTTATGTTTAGTTTTTGAATTTATTTTATATTTTTAATTAAAATTTTAAATTTAATAATTTAGATAATTTAATTATTTTTTACAATAAATTTAACTTTGGTTGTATTTTATTTATGTAAATAAAATTAATGTTTATCATATAAATAATAATATATTAATATTTTATTTATACAAATGAGATATAAACATGTATTAAGTTTGTTGTAAAAAAAATTAAATTATTTTAATTATTAAATTTAAAAACTTATTTATTTCAATAAAAATTTAAGAATTTAGTTCAGAATTAAAACAAGTGTAAGGCGCTTTCATATCGAATTTTGCCTAAAATCAAAGAGTCTCTTCTACATTATAACTCTTCTTGGGTAAATTTTATGGGAGGATGTCAATCACTTTTGAGTTCATGACACTTTGATCACTGACCTTTTAACTGTAACATCGAAGTCACTAAATGCAAATGGAATATATTGAACCCCATGGCATTGAAGGGGTGTTTGTTTGAGTAAAGTTTAAGAGCAGTTTGATATTTACACACTTTAATAATATAATAAACAAATAATAAAATTGACGTTTTACTCTAATTAATTTTGCCTTTCAACACAATTTTTAAGATATTGTAAGTTTTTTTTGAAGAAACGTAATGTCAACTTTTTACTAAATATTTTTAAAAAAACTTAAACCATATAGTGTGAATGTTACAATGTAAAAGTGAGTGGCTCAAATTTTACAAAGTCAAAAGGTCAATGACTTCCCTTAAGTTTTACCCCCATCTTTCCTTCTCTCATGGTAGGTAGGAGTAATTGGCTTTATCCATGGGTTTTGTGTCTCCACAGCTTTCTTCTAAACCCTTTGCTGGAAACTTATAACATATTTTTGGAATGTCAGTGCTTTTGCGCTTATCATTTATTTCCCTTCCCTTTTTGCACTATATAAAGTATAAACTCCACCCACACACCATCCCTTCAAGGGAATCATCTCTTCTTGCCTATTCATATCACTTCAAAGTTCACCCTAATGTCAAAAATGGCCTTCCCATCTGTGCTCTCTCCTGTCTTTTCTTCCTCATGCTGTTGGTCTCCGTTGATGGTCAAGAGGATAATATTTTCCATGGAACCAAACATCCGTTCTTCTTGTTTCCTTGATTCTAGGAGAGAAGGCAGCCTCTCTATCTCCTACTGCAAGCACAGAATGAACCAGACAGTTGGATTCTAATGGTGCTATCCTCACTGAGCTTACCTCTATTTTTTTTCGTTTCTTTTCTTTTCTTTTCGTTTTTTCATTTGATTTTCACTTCAACTTTTTCTTGACCTTGCAAGACTTTTGAAGTTTTATTTAGTAATTTTAATAGTATTTTGTTTAATTTTTGCTTATATTTTTCATGTTTCTCTTGATCAATCCTCCCACCTTCTCATTTCTTTTCTATTCCTCCTGAGCTTTTACTTGCAGTAAGCAGAAACCTTCTGCCGTAGCAGTCCTCCATGGCTTGCACTTTGTACCTAGTATATATATATCAGCCACTTTGTACCTGGTATATATTTCAATTCCTATATCTGTACTCAATATTGTAACTTCTGTTATGTTATATAGATATGAAGGCTTCTTTCATGAGTATAAATGAATATATATTATGGAGCTTGAACTGTGTTTTAGTCTGGAAAGAGTAGTGCTATAGAGGAAGGAAAAAGCTTTTCATTCCCACACATATCCACGTTAAAAGAGCTCTACGTTGATTTGCATGAAATTAACCAACATGTGTGCAGTGCAGATGATATATATCCCTAAACTTGGACTTCCCATGATCATGTGTTTGAAACTGGTTTTTCTTGTTCTTTTAAATACTAGATCCAGGGCATAAAGCTAGCTAGGCACCAGAAAAAATGCGAAAGGGTTTCAATTTCCACAGGTTCCTTGTAAAGGCAGTCAAAGGTATAATTGCAATCAGTGAAGTTAACTTGCAAGTTGTAGCTGCCTTCTTAAGAAAACCTAAACTTCTATGGCATTATCGAATGTGTGAATCATCATCCACATACGTATTAAATGTCCATTATTTTATCCATGGTTTAAGTAATGAGTTTGTCTTACTAATATGTATTTTTTAAAATTGATTTATATAAAAATTATAATAGTTAATATTTATTTTAATATTATTAAAAAAATAATTTTAATTAATTAATTTATTAACTTAAAATAAATATTTACACGCACTTTCTTTGGGTTAAGTGTTTTCCGGTCATGCACTCTTCTCAAACCTGTCCTTGACACATTATTAAAAAAAATAAATATTTACACATTATATATATATTTTTGAATACGAGGAAATGTAGGGGAATAAGAATAATTTGACTGTATTGTAGTGGATGGAACTCTAATAAATACTAAGAATTTAATGCATTTGAATTAAAGTAGTCAAAATTGCATGTATCATTTTTTTATATAAATTAATTATAAATTAATTATAAAATAATATATTTATTATATTCTTAATCTTTTGGTATTCGTGGTTGAAAAAAGGTTAGTTAATTGCCACTAATTAATTCAAGAAGTGTAATAGACTTAGGGTTAGTTTCTAAGTCACTTTCTTCTTTACACTTTTCAAAAATTTTCTTTTAGTATTTTTAGGCATTAATATTATAACAAAAAGAAAGTAAAAGTGATATTTGTAATATTTATTTTTTAATAAAATTTTTAATTTGTGAACTTTTCTTTCATATTTAAAAAAAAAAAATCTTCGTAACTTTTTCAAATAAGTTTAACTTTTTGACAGTCAAAATTATATTAATAATATTAATATCTGTTTAAAGAAAAGGGGAGAATGTTGAGCACTAGGCTCGACTTGTAAAGCAAGGTGCCCTCACTTTTCGTCTCATGACCATTGGACCACACAGTGGTGAGTTTCAAATAAGTTTTACTTAATAACACTTTTTCACTAGCTCTTTTTATACGTATTTTTTATTGAATACAGAAAAAATTAATAATTTAATAAAATTTTTATTACAAAATTTAATAATTTTTTAAATAATTCTTTTTTAATGGTTTTTTTTTTTATAATAAAAACTTTGTTAATAAAATTACTTATATGATCAAACAGAACCTAATAGGCATATTAAATCTGGCAAACTCGAAAGAGCGTATGAATTAATGCATGCATACTTTTGGGGATTTTGGGCTATCGTGAACTTTAATTGGTCAGTAATTTTGGGACTTTCAATTGATTTCCTTGAATTCCTTCTCAACAACATTAAATTAAGCTACTTAACATACATAAGAAGTGGAAAACATTCGAAATTCTTTCCTGTTCTCAGTTTGTGCCATATGTTAAGAAAACTCCTTGAAAGAAACATAACTCAATGGATAGTTAAGAATTCATGAATATCTGTTCAATCTTCAATAGGATCCATATCACATAGGAAGGGATAATCTGGTGGACTCCCAACAAGCCTGCAGGGATTAATTCTGTAATATGGTAGGAGGGATATTTGGCATTTACATACCAGCAACCATTTCTACGACGATTCTCTTATGGACAAGATGAGAGGGGAAAATCTATCCCTCAAAGGGGATACAACAGAAGGAAAACGAAGTGGAAGCAGTTTCAGCACCCACACTGATTGAGTGCTGACAACCAGGATTTCCGGCCCTCAGTACTGGAGATAGTCGATCGTCTAAATCCCGAGCACCTAACCATGTGGTCACGCATTTTCCGGTCTACACTGCGAGGAACTAATGGACTGCTATCTGTTGCTCCCATACAAAGGCTGGAGTTGATCTTTATTGATGGGAACCTCTGGCAGCTCAGGTTGCGGAATGAAGATCCAAGGATGGGAGAAATTTGGCCGCAATGGATGTGAGGCTTGCAAAGTGGGGATGTTACAGAGAGCTCTGATCCTTCACTTGAACAAGTGCAAAATGGTAGGGACAAACTTGTTCTTGAAACTGCCTTAACCTTTGGTTCTGTTCCGGGGAGTTTGACATATGATACTATTCCATGTCGACACAAGGGGCAGGCAATTGAACCGGGAGGACCTCGAGCAACTCTTGATGCGCTATTTGTGGAACAGAGGTACAAGGCACATTGTGTGCAAAATTCATGACCACAACCTGCACCATTGGATCATTCCATTCATGATTAACAGATTTGCCATCTACACAATAATAAATTATAATTTGGTTATAGGCAATATTATATCCATGATCTAATGGAAAACTACAGTTAAAGAAACTCGAATATAGATGTAACAAAGAAAATGGTGCTGGAATGTAGAAACTACAGATATTAATGCAAGGAATGAAAAAACAACAACATCCTAGAATTATTCGCTTTAAGCTTAATTCGGTTAGCATATGTACATCATTCATTATCGTAACTAACCAGAAAACACAATCTCAAATATAATGCAGATCCATTTGCAAATGTATATAACTTAGCATTTCCCAGAGTCACATCCAGACACTTTGGCTCCATTTATTCTAACAACATGAACAGAAATGAACTCCAGCAATTATTTGCTACTTTCAAACGAAAGTTACAATTACATACCTTCTGCAGCTACCATGCACTTCCTTTCCAAACACACAACACATGGGTCTTGGCAGGAAAGCAAGGAATCACTATTCCTCCATCCAAATTGTCTACAAATGACAAAGAGGGGAGAAAAGGTTCAGTTCATTTGACATTAAATAATTTGTCAAGCATATAAACTCAGGTTGTCCCCAATATGTTGCATACAAAAGCACAGTAAAAAACTTGTCTGCACTAGCATGGCTTTCTAAATAGTTATCATAACAGAGATGGGATTGAATGGGAATAAAAGGTTAAAAAAATAAGTGGATGCCTTGAAAAATAAGATGGACAAATCACAAGGTTTATAGGTTGATTCAGAAACTAAAATTAGCAGAAGGTTAATGCAGATTTAACTCACCTAGCAATTTTTACAATGCTCATAAGAGGAAGAGATAGGTAAGGTGAAGGACGGACTCGTAACTGCCGCTCAGGCTGAGTGCTAAGAATCTCCTCAAGACTATTTTTACGCCATGAGCGAGCAACCATCAAGGGAGTCCACCTTTGATTGATTAAAAAGGACAGGAGTCAGTTTATGAATTATCCTTCTTTTGGATGACAGAGAAATTCATGAATATATAGTTTTTGAAAAATAAATTACCAAAAATTGATCAAAATTTTCTATGTTCGGAATTATTGTGTTGGAAGCACAAATTGAACATGATCAATGATTTCGTTACCACTTGAACTGTCAATATTGTCAAAATAAAACTAACATCAAGCATCAAAGTTTCTAACTTCAAATTACAATGCAGAGAAAAAAACCAACAACTAAAACATGGAACTTTAATTATACCATCAGTTACAGGAACATACCCATTAACATTTTCAGCAGTCACACTGGCACCTCTGGCTATCAAAATCTGACGCACCATAACAAAATTTAGAAATAATAAGAGTGAATCATCAGGATGAATGGAATATGATTTAATTTCTTTCCCTTTAATTTCATTTTGGTTGCAACTATTCTCATACCTGACAACATTGTGCATTACCACCACAAGCAGCATAATGGAGAGCAGTGCTTCCAGAACCTGCAAAGTGATGACAAGAAGATGCTAGTTAGGAAGAAAGAATTGATAGTGAAGGGAAGAGTTCACTAACAGGACACACTAGAGTCTTCATGCAATTTGCAGATGTGGTGCAAATATGTGATTAACTAGATTCTCCTAAATACTAACTAGAATCAAGAACATAAGGAATGATTCAGAAACGAAATCAAAATCATCTTGTGGTTTATAAGCTATAATTTCTAGGAAAAAAGGGATTTGAGAAGGGAGGGGGGAGGGGGTGGACAGGAATGTGAAGACAAGCTTCTAACTAGAACACTATATACAAGATGTTAATCACTAGTCTCAAAATCCACTCATATTAGAGCCCCAAACAGAGATGGAAATTCTGGAAAGAGAAGAGATACTGAATGCATTGAGAAACAAAAACTGAAGCAGGAACGAACAAGAGGTGGATGGGTACAGGCGAAATGGAACTCTGATAAGACATCAAGAAAGAGCATTGAACAATGAAATTGCAAGTTAATAATGTTTCAACTTTTGAATTTAGCTGCATGTTGGCTAGCCATTTAATAAACAACGACTATAATTAATCAAAATGATGAAAGAAAAAGGTAAAATTACCAATTAGATCAATTGTTGTTCCATCTTCCACGGTGACCTCATTAACGGATGCTCCCAAGTCAAGCAACAACTGAACACTTTCAACATGTCCATTCAGGGCTGACATATGAAGAGCAGTGATCCCTCCATCAGCAGGTCTATTGATGACCTCACGAAGAGCACTTTAATAATGACAACATAAAAAGAAATTAATTAAAAGAGCAAATTGGATACACACACACATGTGCAGATGATTATTTACCCTTCATCAAATTCTGAGGTAGATTCTCTGTTCCTTGATTTTTTAGTTAATAAATTCCAGCAATCAGGGATGCTAGGAATATAATCTACAAGGAGGAGCCTTATGCACTGTGAATGACCATTTAAAGCAGCCAAGTGAAGTGCAGTACCCCCATTCAGATAATCTGCTTTATGGATCTAAAGACCATTTGCACACAAGAAACTTGTCAAAATCATATTCCTCACAATCCTGTAGGCTATCCATACTAATAACGTTACCTAGATGCACAAGTAAATATCTTACATTGGCTCCAAAAAGAATCAATGTTTGAACAACTTCCCAGTGGCCATGTTGGCAAGCTTGCATCAAAGCAGTCTGTTCAGCATGGTTAAAAAGATGTCTGTTAATACGAGCTATAACTAATTACACAATATATTTCTGACAAGTCTGCAAAAAATGGAAGGCAGCATCAATCATCACCAGTATGAGATTGTAGGCATTGGAGAAAATTAAACCACAGTCAATAATAGACGAAAGATAATATAAATTTCATCAAGACAACAAGATCATATTACCTGACCACGATAATTCCTGAGATTAATATCAACTCCAGACTCAAGCAAGAGGGAGAGTATCTGTTTTCAACATGTAAAATATTGCAATCACCATCATGATTAATTTGAAAAACCTGTAATTCAGGATATGATATTAGTCTTTCAAGAGAACATTCAACAGCTAAGATTGAGGTTGTTGATACCTCATGGTGCCCCTGAGCTGCAGAGTAATGTAGCGGTGAATTGCGAACCCCAAATGTGGAATACCTGGCAAGCCTTGGATTGTATTCCAATAAAGCCTTGGCTTCTTGAAGATCTCCATCTCTTGCAGCAGAAACTAAGCGTTCCCCAGAAGCAGAACATCCAAAAGAATTCCCAACAAGGCTTAGAAATCTCATGATACACAGAAGCAACAGCCTCCCACACAAAGGTAGAGAATAAGATTATGAAAACAAGATTGTTTTCAAGATCACAGAAATCCCCTTTGATCATCAATAAAGTAGTACAACAGGAGGATTTCAATTCTTAAGACTCCCCAAAAATTATATACAGATCATCAGCATATACACATATAGAGGAAAAAGGCAATCCTTGTGTTTTCTGAAACACGAACCAGATTAGCAATGATCAGTAGAGAGGTCTCACTTGAATCCAAGATAACAGTTGTAATGGTCAATATCTCATTGGCACAAATGGATCGGCTCAGGTGATTATAAGAAACCCCTCTAAGGCTCTATCTGCCAACTAAGGAATAATAATAATAATCTGGATGTGATTGTTTCCTAAATTAGTTAAAGGATCTCATTAATTTTGAGGAAGACCTCCTAACATAAAACAAGAACACTCATAAATTTCTTTCCAGGAAAGGTAGAATCATATCTTGAGAAAGAAACTTATCTCTCCAACCAAATAAAAACGAGAAATCCCAAGTTCCCCCTCAGAAGAGGTAACCATCTAGTATCTCTAAAACCCACATCCAAATTTTGAATGCAAAATTTATTCAATTCCAAACCTCAAGACTCTCCTTCTATACCAAAATATCCAATACCACTTACAAATTTCCTTGAAGAATCAAAACCACCAATACCCTCTTCCAGCTATTCACGGAACAATCAGAATCTCCAATATCCAGCGGCAAATCATCTGAAAAGACTGAAACTTTACCATACCCAATTCTAGACACACCTCAAAGAATCAAAATTTTCAATACCCACATGGAACAATACATGATACATCTACAAATTATTTTTCTCCCTTTCTTTAACGAATTGGACCAAGCCTTTCAGGGAAAGAACTGACCAATTGCACAGAAAAAAAAAAAAAAAGGGAAACAAAAATGAGGAAGTGAGAAAAAGGAAATGTGTAGTTCTAAAAGTGAAGTTAGAGGATCAACAAAATACCCTAAAATGACTTCGAAATGAAAACGTAACAGATTTTTGCTAAAGATAAAATTAGGTGGTGGAGATGATGAAATGGAGAGAATAAACTATAAAAGGAGATAAAACTGACTGGGGGATGTTTTAATTGAGGACAGCGACATTTTAATGCAACCTCAACCAACAGGGTGCGTGTGTATGAACGCCATGATTGCCTATCATTGGCCATTCCATTTCCGACTGGCAGTCCACTCGCCATGGTGGGAAAGTTAGGTCCTTTGAGCGCCGTTAGCCGATCAGCGCACACACCAAAGTCAGCTACGTTTAATGGTGACGGGTTCAGTTGTAAGTACTTATTTAGAAAAAAAGGAAAGAAGAATAAATATTTTCAGTTTGTCACTCAACTTCTAATTTTTGTCAGTTCAGTCAACTTTTTTTTTTTATTATTGAGGAGTGTATTTATTTATTATTTTTAAAATGAGGCGTGGAATGTGATTTTATTAGTAGTTTTAGAGCTCATTTGCGTTTGCTATTAAACCCTATATAATTAGCTTCAGACCGTGAAAAAGATGCTAATGATTATTAATTCTTTAAAGAGATAAAGATTTAAAATAAATAAAATAATTTAATACCAACACACATAATAAACTCTTTATTAATTATTTCTATATTAAAGTTGATTTGAATTTCGTTTTCCACTAATGTGTTAGGGCCATCAATAATATCACCAATAATTCATAATACCAAAATTTTCTCTTGTGACTTCTTTTATTATCAAAAGGTGTGTATGACATAAATATTATATAACAAAAAAAAAAAAAAAACAAGAAAGGATTTTTCTAACTTATGTTTGAAGGTTAAAGGTATTTTTTATAA